GACCACAAGTACTTGTTACCTGAAATCAGTTTTAATATGCTCTCCCTACTTTAAATTCAGTTACAGAAAGAAATGGAATCAGTGTCTTATGATTAATAGCATAAAATAACATCTGCCACATGAATAATAATCGATAATAATTAAAAATATTATATCATTACATATATCAATAATCCTTATTCCTAACTAATACTTTTTATAATTTTTACCTTGAATATAGCTGACTGTCCTTGGAACTGTCCACAGTATTCAGAAACCGAGCAAACATTGTTCCAACCTTCAAAAATACAGTATTTTGAGTAAAGAAAAAAAGTAGAAACAACAGCAATGAACGAAAAAGACACACAAATTTCCTATTTCTTTTAAAATAGGTCTAAAAAACGAAAGAAGAGAACTCGTATAAGAAGAGAAGAGGCAAAAAAAGCAAAATAAATATGACTTTAACCTTTCCTTTTCTCAACTTTCCCATCGGCAAGGATTTTTGCAATGGATTCTGCAAGCATCGGTTTTTCGGCCACCATCATCACCGTCAGCGGAGCCATATCCACTTCTCTCTTTTTCCTCCTCCCTCAGTCACCTTACCTGCATATATTTAGTATTATTCTGCTTTTGAAATTAGTGCTATTCCACTTTTGATAAACTGTTGAAGAACAGTGCAACAAAGCCTCCCAACATTTCAATCCACGGATTCACCTTGAAATTTTCACAACAAATAATCATGCGTTTGCACTATATTATAATGAAGCATGAAGACTCTACTCTCGCCACTGGTAAAAATAAAATTCATGACCTGAAAATATAATAAAATGCTTCAACGATGAGCGCTTTGTGTGCCAAACATTTCAGATAACAAGAATTTATTAATACAAGAAATAATTAGAACTGCAAATTGTTTTTTAGGAATAAGTGCATGATAAATCAATTGAAGAAAAACATTTCATTAAAAAAAAAAACATTCCTGAACGCTGTTTTACATCGATGATAACACTGTTTCAAACCCATATTTTATAACGGTAATGGCCTGATAATTACAATACCATCTATGGACAGAACAGACAAGTACATTCAGTCAACCAGTATAGCAAAACAAAAAAAAAAGAAAAAGATTTCTAAAAACTAGAACATATAAGTACTCAATAGTAAATATACGAATAATTAATTATATGAAGAGGTAAATAACAGTGTGAGGAGATACCTCACTTCGGTGGCCATTCCATATCAACGCCTTCAACATCCAGTTCAAGTATGTCAACTTCACCGCATTCTAGTCCTAATAAATCTGCTAGTGATGGCCGAGTTCGACCAAAATCACCGTGCACAAATTCTTTTACATAAGTCCCCGCCTGCGTCTCCATTCTAAAATAGTGAAATAACTGTTCGAAACTTCTTTAAGGGCTTTCAGGAATCTTTTCATCATAATAATGAACTTTTGTCCATTTGCAGAACCTATTATTATGACAGCTACAGCAATTTCATTACAAAAAGTTTGGCATAATAAAACATATAATTCTAGTAAATCAAAAACAAAAATCCAATTCCGAAAATCTGCTACTTTCAATCAACACAACGTCCCAGACGGCTAGAACTGTGGTAGTGTTTTCCGTTAAAGCAACAAAAAACTAGAACTACACCTTACATAAAATTACGTAAAAGAGTTCCCGCCTATCTGGAATTAAAAATGGAAATTATCCATTTTCAAAGAAGTATACCATTACTAACTGTGGTTACCGTAGATAAAGCTGCATTTCAATTTTTCAGAAGTGGGCATTTCAACTATTGCACAGCATACAATTTGGATTAAATAAAGTAAGCATATTCCACTTACCTGATTAGGAAGTGATAATCATCCAATTTCAGTGCTGCTATGAAAAATATCATTCTTCGTCTTTCGAGCAAAGGACGACGTTTCAACACCCGCACAGGGGTTTTTTGAATCACTTCAATGGGTGCTTTATGATGAAGTTTTTTCAGTGCGAGATCATCAAGCTTCCGTGTACTACAACAGTAACCGGTGTATAATTTTCGCCTTTCTAAAACAAAAGAGTTCTAAGTGGTCATGGAAATTTATAATTCAAGTCGAAAGTCTGTAATATATATATATTCCAATCTAATTTCTTTAAACACTACTAGCACATAAAAACTGATAAAATAGCTTACCATCTTGGCCATTTTTTATTAGAGATGCTTGGTCTGAAGTGATTTGTTTCAAACCGGGAAGAACTTTAACATCAAGATTTTTATTGATACTATCCTCTAAACGTTTCAATGTAGTCTTCAGGTTATTCCTTTGGAACGGAAAAGTTCTCTTGGGATTGATTAACTGAAAAGAATCGATATCATATTCAATTTACGATATTAGTTTATATACATTCAGAATTTTTGAAAGAAAAAAAAAAATTTTTTTACTTCCAATACAAATGGCCTTCCGTTACCAAGCATTCGCACATCAATATCTTCCCGCCCTGAAGCTATAAAACGTGCAACATCACATCCAGTTTCTGTGACAAATGGCGCTCCAACTTTTTCCGATACCTTAAAAAAACTTTGAATTTCATATGCAAACTTTCAAAATTATTAGATTCTCTTTAATATTTTATGTAAACTTACTGAATGTCCAATAATTTTCTTCATATCAGTTGAAGCAGACCATGGGCTTTGAGACATGTTTCTAGAAAATTTGCAATATCGTCCAGCTATGAACAATGGACTACGTTCAAATGAAATTGTATAATGACATGATGTCGACGGTGAAGCCATCTTGTAACTCCTATAATCTATTTTTTTTTTTAAATCACCAAATAAACAGTACAGAGCAAAACTAAAGTAGAGATCTTTTTGAGAAAAAAATAAAGAGATATGAGTTACATAACATTGTAGACCAGGTATAAAATGCTAGGGAAGTCCTATATAATTCTCGCACTTAAATGCATATATCTTAGCTTAGATTAATACAATCTTTTCTAGGATCTAGACGAATCATGAATACTATCATATACAATAATTAATAGGATGAACGAGGTGTATTATTCTTTATTAAATTATAAAAAACTTGCTTCAGATAGCATCAAGTTATTTTCATGATTGCTTTGAATTAACAAAATAAAGTGAGAGAAATTAATGTCCGAAAGTTATGAACTGGACTCAAAATTTTCTTCACAACTCCTCAACAACTTTTTTTAAAAATCCACATCGAATAAGCCCTACATAATTGCTTAGAAAAACATAAATAGTTAAAACTATACAATGCATATTCTCGATTTAGTTTGTGAATCAGGCCTGCAATTCGTACTTTTGTATACATTGATAAGAGCGTATCATCCATATTGGCAAATCTCAGTCTTTTCCGTGATATTTGGAAATCATTAGGGAATTCCTTTACCAAATAATCAACATCGCTTTTGTTAAATTCATCATTCATAAATGTAAGAGTAAGAATTAAATCCGAATTCAGTGATGGTGACAAACCGGTAGCCTGTAATAAGAAAAACATATGGAAATCTACATAACAGAGTAATAGAATAATGGACTTTAGAATAAATTCTACATATTAAATATGATTCACAGATATTGAAAAAATTAAGTATATATCTTGAAGAAAAGAATGCAAATAACAAAGACATATTAAAAGCGAATAAAAAGCAAATTCCACGAACACCACGAATTCTTTCCAAATAGGCATTGACAATTCGTAACTTGAAAGGAACCATAGAAAGAGTGCCATTTGATGAAGAATCCCGATGGACAAGTTCATATAATGATTCGCGAAGAATCGCTGTAACAGGCATATTGATTGCAAGTAGGAATGATTTCGAATCATAGCCACTGCTCTCATATATTTTCTTTGCCTGAAAGAAACACAACAAGCATTTCAAAAAGATTTAATTAGTAGCCAAAGAAGCTTTCATATCTATTAAGCAGCTTTTCGAAAGTTTCAAAAAAATGAAGTGGAAAATCTGCTGTAATAATCAAACAAATTTGTCCAACTTTATAATTTGGTTTAAATTAGATTTTAATTCATAATTAAGTCTGAAGATTTACATATCAATGTGCAAATGCTTTGTAATACTTGAAGGAAAAGAAAGCTTTACCTCGGCTACCACTTCGTCAGCAAACTTTTCATCCAGTACACCAAAACAAAGAGCGCAATTGAACGGTTTTTCCACATTACCACTTTCTTCCGGTCCTCTCAACTGTCGAGTACAGAGAGTGCAAAGAGGAATACGATCATCTGAACTGGCATCACATCCCATCCTTGTAATCAGTGTCAGTGGTGAATGGTCAGTGGCGAGTACTGAATGAATGAATGAATGCTCTCCTAACCTACAGATTCTCAGTCACAACCGTCTGCAATAATCTCCATTTCATTCAGAACATGAAATTATATTGGCGACGATAAGAAAACGGTTATGAAAGATAATACTGTACTTAGTGATGATGGAGAATGAACAGGTAAGGAAGATTGGATGGAGATGAACAGGTGAGGAAGATTGGATGGAGATGAACAGGTAAGGAAGATTGGATGGAGATGAACAGGTGAGGAAGATTGGATGGAGATGAACAGGTAAGGAAGATTGGATGGAGATGAACAGGAAAGGAAGATTGGATGGAGATGAACAGGTAAGGAAGATTGGATGGAGATGAACAGGTAAGGAAGATTGTGTGTGCACAAGAAAAAAAGAACAAGTACGAAAAATTGAAAATTTAACGAACACAACGATTGAAATAAAAGCAGAGAAGTGATGTAAACGATAGCAGGTGTGCACTGTAATCATAGGAAATAAATTTTTTTTATTTCCAAGCAAACTGCATCTCTTAGCTTTCACTAATTTTATGTCTATCTGAGATTAGCATTGTATGGTGTAATAAACAATTGAAATTAGCATAATTAAGCGGACATATAAAGAGATAGCAATGTCACTTTTGTAGATTTTGTATTAGTGTGGTGATCGGTCATTTGACTGTAGTATATTTTATGGTTTGCTGAGAAAGGAGAGGTACGGATGTGTCGGTTGAAGAAGAAAAAGGTGAGTATTGCGATCCGAAAATATTTTAACTGAAGAAGTAACTGAATAAATTTATTTTATTTCGGAATTTATTTCGAAAATATTTGCTCATCAAGAGAAAGTTATTTAATCGGAAAAAAAAAATGAATTTCAGAAGCTGTCCATACCAGCTCTTCCTGTCCAACAATCTAAAGAGAAAGCTATTGTTAGAAATCAAAATGTACATCGTTGGTTGATACTATAATAACAGTTATTTTGAGGAATTAAAATTAAAATTGTGAAATAAATTTGATAGAGAAATGGAATTTCAGTTTTGAAAAAAAAAAAAGATAAGTGAAGTTTGAGAATTTAGTATTCGGTATGAAAAAAACTTGGATCAACGGTTAAAATTTCTAGGAAAATGAAAAAATGAATGGTAAGATAACAAAAAGTTGGAAGCAAAAATTGAAGCAAGATGAGCATGTAAAAAAAACTAGTGAACCGGAAAGAAGCCACAGTGAACCGGAAAAGAAATCAGGTGAGAAAGAAAAGAGTGAGAAAGAAAAGGAGGAGAAGGACAAGAAGGATGTGGAAGAGGAAAAAGGAAGTGACAATGAAAAAAAGGAAAGTGATAAAGAGAATGACGAGAAGGTCTTATCGGTATTTGTTTATTTTGTATTTTTTGTTTTTAAAAGTATTTGGCTTCTTAAAAAGTATACTTAAAAATATTTATAAATTATTCGGAAAGGATATATGCAATAAGATTTTTGTTATCTGTTCAGTTCAAGTAGCTATATGTTTAGTTAAATGTTTTTTTTTTTTTTGAATTTAGACAAAAAGAGTTCGACAAAAGGATGTAACATTTGAAAAAATGGAATAGTACATAATCAATTAACTTTTATTTTTAGAAAAAGAAATTAGTGATAAAAGCACCAAGAGCAATTAAAAAAGCAGATGCTGAAGATCCGCAATATCAGGTACAATGAATTTGTTAGATAGCAAATTTTTAAGATAATTTAAAAGCAGAAAAAATAAAAATGTTGAAGAATGATGATTGCTTCATAAATAAAATAAATAATTAATATTAATGTCCAGACACTTGCTGGTTTGAATGATGATTTGTTTGGCAAGGAAAATGATCATAAGCCAAAAAAGAAATTAGTTATAAAAGCACCGACTGGTTTTAAAAAGGCAAAAGCTGAAGATCCGGAGTATCAGGTAAGTATAATTCAGTTTTTTTTTTTCCCTGAAATATTACTACTAATTTTTATTGATCAACGAACCTAGAACTGATGAATGTAAATGAATTGATAAAATGATTTAAATAAATTAATATTCTCTCTGTCTCGTACTAAAAACTTTTGAAATTAGAAATGCTAAGCTTCCCTTTTACGTAGTTTTACTATCTTTTCTGTATAAAATCGATTATAGTTGTTGGAAAAGTCAAATTTGTCCAATTTTGATGAAAAATATAATTTGAGCAATGATTTATCTTTCGAAATAGCTTAACGATAAAAATATGTTCGACTTATTCCAACAAAAATGCTTAGAGAAAGAAATTAGAAACTAATTAAATTTTCCTCAAAGTCTATCATCAGATGTATATTTTTGGCTATTTTTTTCAGAATTTGTGGTTTTTTAGGGGAAAAAAAAATTTGAGATTTTTTAAAAGTTCATAAATTAATCAATAGTTTATCTATTAGTGGATTCTATCAGATGTGTTTTTCTTTTTCTAATGTTTAAATGAAAATTAAAAGGAAATGAAGTAAAGCTGTGACATTTTTTGCAGACACTTGCTGGTCTAAACAATGACTTATTTGACGTGGAATTTAAAAAATGAAAACTGAAATGCAAAAAAAAAAAAGAAAAAGCTTAATGTTTGTGTGCTACAGATACTTTCATAGAATTGAAAAAAAAAGTCCTCATTTGTGAATTCTATTCTATGCTAGCTTAATATAATACATTTTTTTTTAAATCATGATAAAATAAATCTTTATGAAGTATTTAAATTTAAAAATAAAAAATACAAAATTAGTTTCACAGGTTTTTGATAATTTGATAAATAAATGAATTAGTTTTTCAAATTCTCTTTGCTATATTACTAATTTTATTTCATCTCTTAATGTTATAATTATGCTTACTAAATAATGAAGAATTGTATCACTTTAACAGACGATGCAATATTACTGAATGTGTCGTTGTTTACTTGCAGGTATGTCAACTAACACTAAATTTCGTTCTTCATTATGGAACCAAAAAATAAATATTTCTGTTTAAAAAAAAAAAGAAAAAAACCTTTCTTGACATTAACAAGAGGATTGAACTTTAGAATAGATAGTTGATTAACAATTTTTTTTTTCTTGTAACGATTTTATTGAAATAGTGAGAATAGGCATTGTTTGAACTTTGAACTTTCATTTATTCAACACTCAGATAACTTAATTGCGAATTTGATAGTGGTGTTTATTAAATAAAGATGTTTAATTTGGAGTGTACATCATCGTCACTAAAAATTGGTCTCAATTTGTAAAACTTTTTGGTTGAAGATTTTATTTCACTGAATGTTGCCATTGTTTTGATTTATTGATGACAATGCCTACAATATTTAATGCTTAATATTTATTATTTTTATTTTTTCTTAATTTTTTTTTGCTTAACATTTACGGAACATTCAATTTAATAAGATGTAAACAATTACATTTGGGTAATATTTCATTAAAACAGATAGCAAATACTGATTTGCTTCAGAACCATAATAATTTATATGTAGACAAGTCTATATATATATGTATCGCACTGACTTTCAATTAATTTGCAGGTAAATTCGCAAATTTCAGACATTTCGATACAATAACTAGCTTATCCTATCTTATACATGTTATCAATTTAAAAAAGTTGCATTAAAAAAAATGATTTTATTAAAAAGTTACATTAGGATTAGCAGCAACACCAAATGTATTAGAATGAAGAATTAAAACTTTCACCAAATTCGGTCATTTTTGAAAAAATCCCCTCAACAAAAAAGTATTTGGAATAGTTTATTTGATGGCTAACATAAGTTATTTGACATTTCAAAGGTAAAAGCTGAACCTATCACTTCAAATAAGCATTGAATTTTTGGTCAAAAAGAAAATAAGTCGAGAGTACAGATGAAGTATGGAAATTAAATCATATTCTGAGTGTATAATTATTTTATGCATCAAAAGTTATTCTTCATTTCATCCTTAGCTAAAAAAATGAGTTAATCGAATTGAATCGAACTAGTTATATCAATTTTATCAACCTTTAATATTGAATGTTTCAAAAGAATCAGTTTAGAAAAAGTAGAAAATTTGAACAAATTATTATTGTGATTCTGAAGATGTCTGTTCATCACTGTTCACTTCATTTAAAATTTCTTCTTCAGTAGTTGCTGGGGTATCATCCTGAACATGTGGTATTGTTTCATTATCCTTTCCTGAATGAAAATGTTTTCTTCGACCTATAATACAATAACAAATTTTGACTTTTTTTTTGAATAGAAAAGTAAGAATAATTTGTGATGAGACAATTTTCTACTCTAATCTATTTTTTAAAAAAAAAAAAAAAAACTTTAAATAAAAATTGTTAATATAAAATCAGGGGAAAAAAGTGCCATAATTAAATTAATTTACTAAAATAATTTATTAAAAAGTATCATATTTTACAACATTTAATTAATTTACTAGTCCCGCTTGATGCTAACGGTGCTTTCTTTTCGCGAATACATTTGTCGGCATTCACTTCATGTGGCATTAAAGTCATTGGAGCACGAAAAAAGTAGAAAAGTGGATAGTAAAGTAAATTATAACAACTGGAAGAATAAAGATCTGCAAATCGTTCCACCTAAAAATTAAAAAAGTTTGAAAGATTCGAACAGAGGTCGTTGAAAATAGTTACTCATCAATCAAAATTTTATTCATTTTTCTTTTAAAAAGCAATTTTGAAATTTAATTTGAAAAAAAAAAAAAAAACGAACAATCGTTCAACCTAACCTGTGATGCAAAAAATGTAGTGCGTGGTCCACTTCGAAATAGCGAACCCATTTTACTATAATAATTATCCATTTCTTGAGTTCTTTCCTGTAAAAAAGAAATAACAAGTCTAACATCCTTAAATTTCTATATTTCAAAAATTAGAAAAAAGTAGATAGGAAGAAATTTAGAATAAATTGATAAATTGCTATTTATATTACCCGAATTTGAATGTTTCCTTCTTGAATAATTGATTGAGCAGAAGTAATATTTATTTGATTGTACATCGCTTCAACTTGTTTAGTTAATTCGACCACTTTTTCGAATAAATCATGCCGTTGTGACCAAATGGATATTTCTTTTACAAGTTCAGGTATCACAAGAAATGTACGCCATCCTTTTCAATGGAATTCAATTTAATAAAATTCATTTCAATTTCGTTACAGTAATATTTAATTCAACGATATTTCAACTTCATTCTTACTAATTGTATTTACTAGAAGAGAAGTTTAAAGCATAAAGAATAAATAGCAAATAAAATGAAACTAAATAAATTAACTCAATATATTAAATCAATTTCTATATTAAATTTGTCAAATGAAGGAATAAAGATGAATATGTTCATATTATTAGCGATTACTTCGGATTACTAATACTTTGATAGAAAGCTCACAAGTTTTGTCTTATCAGACTAAAAGTAAACCTTTTGTTTTTTTTGATTTAAGTACATCACCAAAGATGTGATCACCAATATATAATACTTCTCTGTCACGAGCATTAAATAGTCGACGAAAATCATCTGAATTTCCTAAAGAAAATTAACCAAAAATTTTGATTGAAATGGAAAAGTTTTTAAAAGATTTAATTCATATTTTAATTTACATTTCATTCTTCAAGATGATAACAGTTGAAGTATGCTAGCAATTATGGTAAGGCTTAAATAAGCCACAAGGAATATTGCTTTCTGACTAAGAATTAGCTTAAATTTTTGAATATTGAATTTGTTTCGACCATGAAAATTATGTTCATATTATGAAAATAATTTTTGGAAAAAATATGGACAATTTTTTTTTGTTTAAGTAAACAAATAATTTTATTTAGAGAACATACCGCCAGCATAAACATCACCCTTTTTAAGTAATCCTTGATGTACTCCAATTTTAGGCGCTCCTGTTTCGGTGTCAATTTGTCGAAAAACGGTACCTTTCATGAACCATAATGGTTTTTTTGCATCAACAATTGAAACATCAAAATATGATGTCCAATCCGATCCAATCAAATAGCTTAATACTCCCTAAATATTATTCAAAAAAAAATAAAATTTTGTAAAACTACAAACAATCATTCATAGGAATAAAAAACTCAGAAAATAACTTAATACAAACATAAGTATAACTTAATATAAACATAAGTATAACTTAATACAAACGTTAGTATAACTTAATATAAACATAAGTATAACTTAACACAAACATTAGTATAACTTAATATAAACATAAGTATAACTTAAACAAACATTAGTATAACTATAATTGCTGTTAGTTAGGAGAAATGTTCGTCCTCCATGAGCATTAATTAATTGCAGAAGCGGTTTGATTCGATTATCTTTGATAATATATTTGTCCAAATTTTGCAAAACATCATTTTTTAGTGAGCTCTTAAAACAATAAATGTTAATGAAAGCCAAAAATGGTTAAATTTTAATATTGAAATGAAAAAATTAGTGTAATACATTTATATAAAATATGTTTTAAGTAAGAGCCATATTTAAGACTTTAAAAAAATAATCATTAAAATGTTTAATTTCACAGGTAACCTAAAATTATCGAAATTTATCGAAGTATTTGCAAAGAAAAAAAAAACGAAAGCATTAATAAAGGAGTTAAAATTTTTAAAAATGATTTAAACGCTAAAAAAATCAAAAAATACATACATCATTATGAACATAATTGACGGCGCTTAAAACATCTTCAGCAAGCGATTTATAGGATATTATTGTATCACCGTTTCGAACACCTGTGCCATCACTGGTTCTGCAAATTAAATATTTTAATGAATTTGTAGAAGGACTTTACAACAGGTAGATCAAAGAACTCAAATCATATCTTTAACAAAGTGAGAGAAATTAATAAACAAGTGGTTATTTTTGTTTTTAAACTAACAAATCACTTTTGCTTAGTAAATTGTTAACTTTCAGATATTATTTCTGCCAAAGTAAAACACTATTCTTCGCTTTAGTTTCTTTTGCTCAGAAGAAGAGGAATCAGTAACAATTATCAAAAAATTTTTTTCAAATAGATCTTATGAAGAGTCTGCATTAAATACATACTAAATTGATTGAGAAATAATTATCCATCAGGAAATCCGGAAATTAAATTGTACGAATGCAAATTTTTGAAATTTTAGCTAATCTCAATATAACTACTTCATATCTTCTGAACGAAGATGTAAATATATTGCATATGGATAATATATTAGTTAACTTTTCAAAAAATCATTCGTCAAACATTTTTTTTTTTTCATGAAAGAAATATGTAATTTATTATTATTATCAAAAAAAAATATGTGATATTATTATCAAAGATAACGGAAAAAAAAATGAAAGACCGGAAAAATTTATTTAATTAAAGATTATTTTTCGAATGGTATTTGTTAAATAACCATGAATAAAATAATTTTAAATTGCTAGACAGCTAAGAAAATAACCTATTGAATAAATATAAATGAAATGATGGAGAATAAAAGTTCCGTTAATTCAATTTAATTTTCTTTTTTTTTTGTGTCTGTTTATCTGGAAATTCATCTCTACCTATATTAAATTCATTGCTACACATACTGAAATTAGAAAATGATTACAAAGAAATAATTGCAATTTGAAAAAAAAATGAGCTAAGTATATCAGATTTCTAAGGCAATATTTTCATTCTAAATTAATAATATCTCTTATTTAATTTATTAAAAAAAAGTGCCAAGTTAAATATTAAAAAAATTCTTTCCTTTTTTTTTCAAATAATTACTTTCTGTTTTACCTTTCATAGTTTTTGTGATTGTCGAAATAATGAATAAGTGTAGTAAGTACATAGGTATGAGCTATATCAAATAATGAATTCATCACCAGGACATTTTCCAAATGTCGCAATGAGATGAATTTATTCGGATAATGCTTCTTGATATCCGATCTATGACAATTTGTTAAATTTTCTAATTAATTTTTCACTTACTTATACTACATCAGTTCCATAGTAGTTAAAAAAAAAAAAAGAAAATTTACATATCGATTACTGAGAATAAAACAACAAAAGCTACGAATTCACCGACGAAGATAATTATAGCCATGTATTCCAACCAGAATGTTACCAAATCCATCAACTTTTAGTAAATTACCAAAAGTTCGATCAAACCATAAACCTATAAAGAATTGCTAATCTTGTAAAATTAAAAAATATCAAAAAATAACGAGTGCAAAAATGGAAAAATGCTTGATTTTTCATGATATCATAGTCTTTGATCTCCTTAATGAAATGAATTTTCATTGATAATTAGTAATTCATTGATATCTGATTGTTTTTCAAGTTTTATTTGAAGAAATTACCACGAATAACAAAATCTTGTTCATATGGAAAACAACGTAATTGTTCAGGATAACCGAGTAGTATCAAACGATTGATAATATTGCTGTAGAGCAAGATATCATATTCTGGTGATTTGTAAACTAAAAAATATTTATATTGACATAAAATCAAATATAAAATTGAATTAAAATCACACTAAAATGTCTTATCAGAGTGTGACATAGAATTCGAGAATTGTTCAGTGATCTAATGAAGAAAAAGTTCCTAAAATCATATATTTCTATTGCAAGATCTAATTCATATCAAATCTAATAATTATTAACAGATTAAGCTCGATGAAAAAATTTTTAAATCTTTCATTAAAAAAAAAAAAGTCAATTTAACAATTCAATATTTAATTTTTAATTTCTACTCATTCAATTACTTGCTAATGTGAAATCCATATCAAATCCATAATATCGAATTTTTTGAAGATATACTGATCGATTAGCAAAGACTCTAAAATAAAAATGAAAATATTCTACTGGATGAACAATATACTTATTATATTCAAAATTAAATACATTTTTTTTATTTTCCTTTATTTTTTTACCTTCGTTGTCTTGGTGGTATTTCATTTTAGGCATTAAAATTCTAGCACAATCGATAAAATATGCTTAAATAAGTATTTTATTACTACAATAAAGAATAATACTAACTGATATTCTTGGAAGTTGTGCTGTTATCAAGAATTTATTACTTTTTTTTGTTATCATTCCATTATCATATAATTATCATCAGCTAATAGTATTACTAAAAGTAAACTGAAATGATTACTGCTTGCATGGATCATTCTCAGAAGCCCTCCAATCCATTCCAACTTTAGCGCTCTTAGCAGAAGTTTGCGCAAGATTAGCATTTTTACCATCGTTCAATTTTTCACTTTTCTGCATTCAAATTTTTTTGAAGTTGAATTCTGAAAATCTTTTAAATATATTTCAATTTAAATTTCATAAACTTCAATCTAGACAAAAATTGTCTTTGAAATACAAAATATCATTTTTTTTTAAAGTTTTAAGAGTAGTTTTTGCCCGTTGCCAATTTATTCCACTGATATTCTCGGAAGTTATACTTGATATCTATCTTATAGATATCAAATTTGTCTTTTGCTCTTCTCTCTCAATATTTAAGATAACATTTTTTTTAAAAAAAAAATGAAATTGAGGGTAGTTAGAAATTCCAAACAATAGAAAATAACTTCAAGTTTTCAATAAATTAGGATGAATTTTTAAAAAATTGAAAAGTGTCTGCTGTATTTTTATTTTATCCATCGTCTTCAAGCTACTTTTGATGCTAGACTATTGTAATAATTTTTTATTTCCCTTCAAAACTGTTTTTAAAACATCTGTATCGGAATTTTTTTAAATAATGTAACTCGGCCAAGAAAAATTGCAGCTGTCAAAGCAAAAAGCCAAACCGAAAAATCTTCTAAAAGCAACTAGAAATGAATTTATTCATAAGAAATGATTTTTTTTTTTTTTAATGAATGCACTAAAAATTTGAATATTGCGAGATATGCGGTATTTAAAGCTGCAAATTAAAAAAAAAAAAAAGAAAACACTAATATTGAATTATTTCATTTCATTTAAATATTTATTTTATTTTTTTCTGTTATGAAGCAATTTGTTTGTCTGTGATAAGCGCCAGAATAATTTCGAATAAAAATTTGTATGTCTACATATTTTACAAAATAAAATTACACAGGATTATTTTCAAATTCCAATTGTTCAAATACAATTTTGAATATGTCACAAAATATTACAATTAGAAATCACAATTCAAATTACTTCTTCTGATGTATTTTCGGATGATATTAGCAATATATTCAACCTGTGGATGTGTACTCCTTTCTAACAAAATCATCGCTTCACGAAGATGATCACTAAAATATACTTTTTACTGAAATTTGATTCCATTCAATAAAAAATATGAATAAATTTATTATCATCAATTAGATGAACACTTAAAGACAAGTGAAAATTTCTAGACAAAAGTGAGATTTAAGAGGATTTGCGATTATAAGCTGTGTCTAAATAGCATTTTATTACATTTTAAAGTAGAGAATTAATGGTACAAAATTAGCTTTTAATGAAATATTACATTGCTTACTTAAAGATGTCAAAAATAAGACAAACCAAAAAAGTTCATTTTTTTCTTCTACTTTTGCAGAAGTTTGTTGAAATTTAATCAATGATAGCAATTTAAGAGTGTCCATTTTTTTGCTCGCAATTAATTTCACTTCCCTAACTTTTGCATATATTAAATTTGTCTTTTGTTTTCTTTTTTTTCCTCAATATTTTAAGATAACATTAAAAAACTAAAAAAAAAGAAAGATACTAACAGTGGCGCTTTTTGTTCTACCACCAATTTGAACACTCCAATAATAGCTCCACGTTTACCTTCCCAATATTCAGGATTTGGTTCAGTTCTCTCCATGGAATCAAAAGATTTTGCTGAGTACAAGTAATCACCAATCTTAATAACTATCATAGTATATCTATTGGTAATCTCTATTAATTATTACTAATTTTAGTTGACATAATGTCCAATTTCAAAAATTTTAAATTGCAACAACATCTACCCATTTTTCTTATTGTTATATACGAATATATCTTGTTTAAATCTTTTTTTCTCTTTTTTTTTGAAAAAAAAAAAAACAATCAAAAAGATATACTCTATAACAATCATTCGCAATTATAGATAATAGTTGAAAGCTATCATCACAATTCTTCATTTTTCCATACATTTCCCAAGCTAAGTCACTCTTACCATTTTGAATATCTAAAAACGATGTCAAATCGAAATAACTATAAATTACAATTTTCTCTTACAAACATTTTTCAAATTTCAAACTAACCATTGATGTAAACAAAAAGCTCCTAGAAGATGCAAACAATTTCGACCTACTATTTTTCGGTAAATAATTTTAATTTCCTAATTAATTCCAACTTAAAGATAAATTATTAGATAAAGAATAATAAATACATAAGAAAATTAATATAGTAATATTTGAAGTGAAAAAAAAGGAGGAAAAAACAAACAAGCACGAGCAAGGCTAAGAAAATATGCTGGCTTTAGTCTCAATTCTTCGTCTACAACCAACAATAAGCTAGTTTCAGCTTTTAAGCTATTACCACAGGCTAATAAAGCTTGGCCAATGTTGAAATTAAATGTGTCGTCATCGTGAAAATAAGTCTAAAAAGAGATGAAAAATGATAGATATGTTAATCTTTTCTTTTCAATCTGTAAGACATACAAAAACATATTACAACTCTTTAAAACTTGAATTCAAATAAATTTAAGCTAAATTCAAATTGGATTCAAATAAATATACCTTGATTGAGTCCAAATAAACGAGCACTTCGTCAAATTGATTGCTTAAAAAGTAAGAGGACGCCATAGCTTGTCGGCCAGTAATTGTATCTGTTAAAAAAAAAAAAAAAAACTTATAAAATACGCATAAGAACCAACTTAATTATATTTAAAAATGGAAAGACTTGAAAATTTCAAAGTACAATTCATAAAACATACATACCACATTCAGCAGCCGATTTGCCAACTATACTGAAATATTCTTGCGCTTCGTTCAAATGTTTCTTCCGTAATTAGAATTAAACATAATGAGAAAAATAGAAACTTTTTTCTCAAACAAAGTTTGAAATAAAATTTTGAACAAATAATTCCTTGAGATGAAATATGAAGCGCATCCGGTTGAAATCTAAAAATTCAAATAAAATATAAGAACTTACAGATTTCTTTTGATAACCAATGATACAGTAAGTAATTGCTTTCAGAAGGTATTCAATTGAATGTTGTGAGTTCATATTGTTTACCAGATCAAATGCTTCTTCTATTTCACCTATAAAATTAATCATTAAAAATTTTAAGAAGACTTTATGCTTGATTTGCAAAGGAAAAATTTTTGAAAATAGCTGTGAACAAAATTTTACCTCTTCTAATGGATCATTCTCAATTTAATTTGTTAATTCAATTTATATATCAATATGTTATGCAATCCGATTTAATAATCTTCGATTTCTACATTAATTTTAACATCGAGCAACAAAATTATAAACGTTAACTCAGATCATATCAAAAAAATTGCAAAAATTATTTATTAATAAAGTAAATTTCTTATTTTGTCTTTTATTTATATCCTTTCCTTTTTCCTATGTTTTCTTTTCTGCCGCTTTTTTCAAATTTTCTTTCTGTTCACAAACATTTCAATCATTTTCATAAATCTTGAACAGAGATCCAAACAAAGTGTTATTAAAATTCTAGCCCGAAATGTCTAACGTATAGAAGAAAATTGCATTTAAAGAATAATTTAATTTAATAATTTTAGCAGAATAAAATGTTCTGTTCTTTTTACAGAAATATATTATTGCAAAAAATGAGATGATAACAATTAAAATGTATAATCAAAATAAAATTTACTTCTTTTTAAACGGAAAATTATCAAATTCAGTCTTACTTTAGGTAAATATTCATTGATGGTGAATTTAGAATCAAAATTTACCTCTTTTTAAATAGAAAATTATCAAATTCAATCTTGCTTCAGGCAAAGTATCCATTAATGGTGGAAAGACTTGAAGTGCTGCATTTCCGTCATAAAAGACGACCTAAACAAGTGGATGTTTAAGAAAGTTCAAGAAAAATTTTGTTTTAATGATTTGAAAGATTTAAAATTTAAGAAAGATTTTTTAAAAAAAAAAAATTATTCATATAAGTAGCAAACAAACCGTATTGTGGGAAATGAGATCCTTTACATATGTAAAAGTCGAAACTTTCACATTTTTTAACTTCTGAAGTTCTTTTGTTGCAGCTTTGCCATTATATAATTTGTAATGATTACAGGCTCGCAGATTTATAGCAATCGCACTATCCGGATTTTCGTTCAAGTAAAGTTGTAGCATTTCCTGTATTTTCAAACAATATAAATTTTTCCGACAAATTACAGAAATTATGGTATAGACAAATTATAGAAATTACAGAAAAGGTATAAATAAAGGTATAAGTAGAAAATTAAGGTATAAATAAATAATAGTACAAATAAGAAATTAAGGTATAAATAAAATTAAGATATAAAATTTGATAATTTTGCACATCCAATATTATTTATAAGGTGTTTCTAGATAAATAAAATGAAAAAGTTATAAAATAAAATATTTGATTTAAAAAAAAAAAAAATTGCTATAAGGTACTACAGAAATGATAGAGAAGAAATGCACTTAGAATTTTTAAAAAGCTAAACCAATTGTTCTATCGCGACACTTTCTATTTTTGAAATCATTTATAAACACTTACTATATACTTTCAGCAAACGCTCTAATATTAGATACTTACAAGTGAAACATCGTAATAATCAAGCTTATAATAGCATAAAGCAAGATAGACATTCAATGCAATAAAATTTCTGAAAATAAAGCTATAATTATTAAGTTATTGCAATATCTATTCGCACATTAGACATTTGAAAACTTTAAAATCAGATAAATTATTGCGAGGGAAATTTAAAAACTAATAAATTTTTAAATTATTAAAACAAAATACTTTTTATTAGCTAGAATTTTTTTGTAGATATCAATAGCTTCCTGATAATGTGAATTTAAATAATGCATTGCAGCAAGTGATAACTGATCTTCAGCAGTACTTTGTAGATTATTACGATTTACTAGCAATTGCTTTTCATCCTTCAGGCGATATGCTAGATGAAATAACAAACGATTTTGAAGTGCATTCTTTGGACCTAAATTAGCAGTGATTAAAGCAAATGCAAGATATGATCTTATCTTTTCTTATCATTTAACAGTAAAGATAAAAGATATTGTTTAAAAAATGACTAAGTATCTTTAACTTGCAACTTTCTCTCACTTTTAGTCATTCATTTCATGTAAAAATCACTTCAATAAGCTACAATAAATTCTTTTTCTTCTTTTTTTTTCACATTCTCTATTTCCATTTAGCACGACATTTGTGATAATAAGAATCATTCATTTACTAACTAATCTTTAGGATATAAAATTTGCATATTATTAGATTTCAATTTAAATTATTCAATTCCAATTACCTTTTTCTGCATATTGTTTAGCTTCTGCACATAAGCCAAGAAAAAAGAAGCAACAAGCAATATAAACATTCACTTCCGGTGGACAATTCTTCCTAATTAGCATTCTTTCATATATCTAAATTTGCCAAACAAAGATTTCACAGAACAAATTTTTTAAACAAGAAAAGAAGAAACACACACACACACACACACAAGAAAGAATTTGTCTGAATTGAAGGACAAAACTTTAATTCAAACAATTCATGTATTTCGATTATTGCGATGCCGAAGAGAAATTAATCAGTGATTACAGACTGCAGAAATCAACTTCATCACTTCAATATCAACTCTCTTCGTCACTTCAAGCTAACTCTTCCTTCAGTGGTGCTCAAAATTACTCATAGATTATATTTCTATAAATTCTTTTTTTGACATCATCTGACCGATATTGCTTTCCGATATTCGCCAGCGTGAAAAGCACAATGTCCAAACCAAAGTTCTGTTAACTCATCAGTATTCATGTCTTTTGATTGAAACTGCAATTTCTTTTTTTTTAAAAAAAGCTTAATTTTGTAATTGGAATAACTGTTTTCAATCATTAATATTATAATATTTGATAATTTCGATCGCACATGTTAAACATCATTTTAGACCATTAAATAGTTAGAAATGTTCTTCTTCGGAAATGCTTAAATGATAAATTCATTATCATAGAAAACTTTGCAGGCCTGTAATAACGACATAGCACCGGTATAATCGCGTTTTAAGAGGAACTCATCCAATTCTGGGATTTTTTTATCCTTTAATTTCTGCTCCGATTTCTTCCAAGTCGGTCGAAGTCTGGATAACAACTGCAACAAGTAATCATACAGATGGGTATGAATATTATTCCAATATTTTTATCAACTGGCTAAAGTTTCTGGAACATTAAGCAATATGTTAGAGAAATAATTTATTTGAAACTCTCAATTTAATCTTACTACTCTTAAGGCAATAATAACCTGAAATTAGTTTTTTTTTTAATTAATTAAATTAATTTTTACAAAATTCCCTTTAGGTATTTAAAGGAGTAAGTATATTTCAAAAACTTGGTACTTACCATGATTCCCGCTAAATTTATCAATCTAGCTCACCAGTGAGTACAGAATGGAGGTATATTCAATAATATGAAAATTACTTATAAAACACAAATAGACTAAGGTGAATGACGGTCGCCACGGCAACCTGACAAGATGTTTCAGTAGGTGCGACACATCGTTGTTTCTTGGAATAAAAGACTATTTGAAAGGTCGAATCCCATTTGGATTGAAATGTGTAGTTCCCGGTTTCTTGGGCTTTATTGAATCCTCTCAGTAATCACAATTCAGGTTGGCAACGAAGAATAATCAAAATCAATTTAGTGTGTGTCTAAAGGAAACCCACATTTCCAGCACAATGCTAATTATGTTATGGAAATAAATGTAAAAATCAGGAAGAATATAAAGCTAATAGAGTGTAATCGAATTGCGTTCTGACATCCGCAACAGCAGAATCTAATGGTATCATGTAGAAATAACAAAAACTGTAAGGAACAAAATTTATTGTAATATAAGATACAACATTTTTACTAAGAGACCAGTTCTTTTACTTCTTTAAGCTGAGAAATATCACTGATATAAGAGCGGGCTGAGCGTCGATGTTTCACCTGTAATGAACTTTTTATTTACATTTGATATTCGCATTAAATCTGATCTAATTGTTGTCATTTTCCAGATAAATTAACACTAAGTAATAGCATCTTTCACGCTGATTTACAAAAAAATATTTTAAAAAACGCAAAAATTCCTTACCTGATTTTTGGTAAGTCGCCTTCGCCTTACTTCATCATCCAAAGCATCACGTTGCTTTGCGTGTTCTTTTTCAGCCCATAATTTTTGCATTAAATACGCATCATCGTCAAGGTAAGGCACTTCATATTCTTTTTCATTGTGCTCATTTGGAGGAGTAAGATGTTCTGTAGCACGTTTCCTAAACAGAAGAAAAGTTTGTCTGGGATATATTTAGTAATAGCGTAAAAAAGAAAAAAAAAGCTGATTGAAAAACTAGAAAAATAATACAAACTGATAAGTAAAGCCTGCAAAAGATGTCACAGTTCGCATAGGTGGATCTGCACCATCTCCTGTTTCAAGACGAAAATAGGCATCGTTACGTTCATGTACCACTGCTTCCAGGTTATGCATGCTCTGGAACAAAAGGTGACTATTTATTTGCTATAAGACTGAAATGTAAAAAAACAACGTTTATATATTTTCACTACCGAAGACTTGAAAAAGTTAGCTGTTATAAACTTTTCCAAGAATTCCAAATTTTTTTTTTCGAATCTTTTGGGGTGTTTAAAAGAGAAATCAGAAACTGATTTTTTTGTTCACAAAAAAATGAAAAATTTCATTCACAAAAAGACCTCAGCAACTTTCTCAATTCGATCTGGATTAGGCATACGACGAGCTTTCTGAACACTAGCTTCCAGCATTGTTAGCAACATGTTGCGCTCTTTCAACAGTATATACCTACAACAAAGAGAAATTTAGTAATTTTCTCATAAACTACTAATAATTATAAACTTCTAATAAACTCCTTAGCTCTCTAAAAAGGCAGAAAGTTAATCACAGTTGAACAATGTGACAAAAAATCTGAATTTCTTACCATAATTTATGAAGATCAGAATTTGATTTTAATCTTAATTCATCCTTACTCCATGGACGACCGGGCTTACTCTTCTCATCAAGTTCATCCTTACCATAATTTGCCGGCTCATCAAAGAATTCGCGTAGACCTTCAGGAAGAGCTGTATTTAGCTTTGCAGTGCAAAGAGTTATCACGGGCTTGCTGACGCTGCTGGAAAGAAATTCTCATCTCATCAAATTACTGTAGACTTTTCTATTTATAAATAAGTTAACGGATATGATAAGTCCAATATTAAGAGTTAAAAAGTGGGAAAACAAGATGGTATCACAAATGAGAAGACCAGAATATTACCAAAGTTTGAATTATTGAAGTGATATTAAAAATCGGAGAACAACCTGGCAAATCTCAGTCTAAAAAGAGATCTCAAAAGCAATAATTTAGAGCAAAATCCATTCATTCATTTTCTTATTCCAATAAATACTTACAAGCGATGGCCAAATTGTTTTATAATAAACATTGAGTTCAAATTACTTCCACATTTATCATTTCATCGTTCTTAATGCTTTCCATTTATTACTTCAAACCTCAAAATAACAAATCGAGAAATATCACGCAAATGGAGAGAATCAGAGATCTGCAGGAGTCGGTGTATTGAAATTATGAAAAATGAATGAGACAAATAAGATTATTTCAAATGAATGAATTTAGTTAGTGGTGACTATCAGTCTTTCAACCAATCCGTGACCTCACTTTTTGACCTTTTAGGTCGTTAGCAGTGATCGGTGTGACAGGTGTTAGCTCAAGTTGCCAATGATACGACAAGGTGTGTAGTGAGAGTGAAATGAATTTCTCTTTTTCTGAAGATCTGAGTTGAGGTGTCAAAGTTAGTCTTGAAAATGCTACTGCAGGTAACAACAGGTAGGAGAAGTGCCAGGTAGACGATCACTGTGAATGAGGTATGACAGAGCGGTATATGCCAAGCATCTTTCCGGAGTGTGACAAGTTGAAACAGGTTAAGTGTTTTTTGTTTAAGTGTTTTTCTCGTTTTACATTTCCGTAATTGTAAATAGCAGTGATACATTAGCTTCTTGATTGCATCCCACATGCAGAGTTATTGCATGTTTTCATTAAATTTATTCAAAATTTCAACTGATTAGTTTAGAAGCACTTAGATTAGATTAGATGAATTGATTGACTGAGAATGCACTATTTAACTAAAGGGTTATGTAGTTTAGAATCGAATGTAAGCATAAGTTATCCTATTGATTCGATAGATCAAATTTTTATTTTATATGTAATTCATTCTAGTTTAAGCCAGAATGAAAGTCCTTTACAATTTGACAATACGCTGTGTTTTAATAGATGGCTATATTTAAGCCTACTGTATTTCTTGAAATTCATACATATTATCACAAAAATATATTTTTTATGAAAATCGCGTAAATTCTTTTTAATGATCATTGATTATTTGAAGAATGATAATAGCAGTTGCAATGACAACCAGTATTTCCGGACTTTCTATTAGCAACATGTTTATAGGCATACGACAAGTGTTTTTCTGATTTCTTCGAAAAATTCATTAGTGCTGAAACTTTGACGGTTTCAAATCCCTGCGATCGTTTGCACGAAACATATCGTTATTGCATTGAAAAGGTAATTTCTTTCTTGTTATTTATTAAGGTCTTCAGTGTATGTCAAGTCTTCTCCTTAATACATTGGGAATTAATTGGCAATTGTCATAACAGAATCTTGAAAAGAATAAAATTTATGATATCGACCTCAACGAACTTCGAAAAGACGTGCTGAATACAAAAGACGATTTGTTGAAGGGCTCTCAAACCGCCGATAACTAGCTCAAGTACGCTTTTGTATATTTCTTCTGCGATTTTCTAGACATAATTAAAGGAAAAAAAAAAACTTTATTTATCATTTACATCCATTCTGATTGCTTTCCAAACAAGCTACTGTTTCAATGTTTCCTTTTAACATTGCCTGTTCCTAGGCTGTTCTGAATTCACAGTTTTCACAGTTAGATTTCTCTATACATTCTAGGTTCCATATGTTCTTTATTGCGACGGAAGTTGGTTTGTGACTAAAATTATTTCAGAATTAAAAGGAAAATTAATGGATCCATCTTTAATGGGATCAATGTCAAATGCCTCAATTTTACAAGAAACAGCAACTGATACGCGTTACAATCATTTGGAACAAACTTTAGAAAATTTTCAGGTCTTTACTTGTCCATTCAATTTTATTTATTTAGATAAACAATGTCTTACATCTTTTGCTTTCTAGGAGAATGCACGACAAATGGGCGTAATTGCGAGTGATTTCACAACTCGAAGTCAAGAACCATTAAATCAGAAAATACATACTCTTATATCTGGCCTTCATGTAAGCAACTTTTTTCCTTATACTAGTAAACTTATTAATAATGATTTCGAATTCATGTTCTGAGGTTAATTTTTCGAACCGGGCTTTTGAAAATGATATACAACAGAGTAACACTTGGGTTTTTATGTAGGAGTTGGACCACTTAAAGAACCAATTTATGGATGTGAAAATACCTCTGGAACTGCTTGAATATTTGGATCAAGGAAAAAATCCGCAGCTTTATACAAAAGAGTGTTTAGAAAGGACGTTGAACAAGAATAAAGAGGTGACAAGTTTTGATTTTTCTAAGAAATTGTGTTGATCTTCAAACCAAAGCTGAAATTGAAGACCTATTTTTTTCCTTTCCAGATGAACGGTAAAATTGAAATGTATAAGAAGTTTCGCGCAATGCTGCTGAAAGAACTTGGTGAAGAAATGCCAAATGATATGGTTTTGTATCGTAATTTACGAGACAGAAAAGATGCCTCACCACAACATGAAAATTGTAATGAGGATGCTAGTGATTGATTTTCAAATCTAAATCCCGTACTGACTTTGCTGTTTTAACTTCTTTTGATTACAATTTGGGCAAGAAGATATTCTTTCCACTGCCTTTATTATGAAGGAATTAGAGCAGAAAAAGGAATTTTGTATCCAGTTTCTTCAAAAAGTTTTTTCAATTCGATATTCTTTATGCTGATTTATATTCCTTGTAAGATCTTGTATTTTTATTAAACTCGGGTTTCATGAAATAGCTTATAAGCTAGCTTAAATAAGTTCTCCCTACGTTTAATTATCTTCATCTTGTTTTAAAACCAGCTCTGTCTTTTAAAGAAATAGTAATGCTAGCTGTGTTGTATTACAGTTCATGGCGCACTATTTTCATTATTCCTTGAATTTTAGCCTTTTTTTTTTCGAGATTCCAGAATTTTTTTACGGGTTATTTGCTCCTCCAATTTTGTATGGTTGAAGTGGTGTTAGACCGTTGTTGTCATGCCCAATTTCAAATAAATATTCCATTGCAACTGTATCGTTTTGCTTCGAAGTATTAGTTTTGCTGGAAGTTTTACCTCAGGGAAGTAATTATTTTTGAAGGAAAGGTCCAATTCGACAAAGCACGCGTTCCATTTGCTTCTGATAAATTGTTCATTTGAAGGTTCTGAATGTTTATTCACTGTACTTCTTTATCAAGACTGTAGAGAGAATTCACCATGTCAGTTTTCTTACGTGGTATGCAGCCACAGAACGGCTTTACTGCCAAAACGATAAAGTTTGTGAAACATTGCAAAGGGCTAGAAATTGGATGGACTCATAATAAACTTAGAAGTCAAGGTGTCGAAGAATTTGTGGAGGAGTATTTGCCACTGATAAGGTTTGTTACTGTGTTAATCAAATTTTGTCACTATGTGGGAAATTGAAAGAACTTTTTTCAATTGGACGTCTGACGTAGTGGCAACCGGTCATCTTTTTGGTTCGTAACTCATATGGTCCCAATTTTAGGCCATGATGTACCACGAAACATTTGGGTTGTTAAGCATCTAAATCTGTAGCGACCTTTTTGTAAGAATAATAAATAGTTACGAGATTTGTTTCTAGTGATTTCTTTATAAAATCTTAGCAATTTTTATAAAATTTTGTTAATTTGCAGATCTTCGAATGAACTTTTTTCTTTTTTACAGAGAAAATAATCCGCACATTAGCATAAGATTATCTCGAACTCATATTAATTGCGATCCATTTGTAATTGGGATGTAAGTTTTTTATTTAAATTCTATCGTGTTCATGTTGTATTCAGATTTCTTCTTATTATTGTTGTACATCTTCCTCTACAGTGGTTGAAAAAATTTTTTAAATTTGGAATTTGTTTATAATTATACAAACAAATTAACATTCAGATATGAACATTGTCGTATGAGGAAACGGCGTTGTGACTGGAAGACTAAGCATCAAGTGTTATCATTTGTAGAAGAAATGGCTATTGGTGGAGATTATGTTAAAGGTTAGTGTTGAAGAGTTAAATTTAATTGAAAATGCATTTTTGGTTTGCCAAATTTACTCGTTTTCCAACATTTCAAATTTAGTTTTGTTCCCAGTCGATTAATTGATTTTTCAGGTCGGAAACGAGGAGTGAAAACTATACTGCCACGTGGTTTACAATTGTGGAATACGGAAACTATTGGCCATGATGTATTTAAAGTTTATAGTAAATGGAAAGGAGATCCTCCGGATCCTATGGAAATAACTAGTTCTTCTCATCCATATCTTACGCATAGGAAGCATGCTTAGAAACGGTTGTTTTCGTAATTGAATCGAGAGCTCCTGAAACTATTCATTCGTATTCAAATAAACAATTAAATTCATCTAAAAAAAGAAAAAAAAAGAGAACAAAAGATATTTAGATTCCAAAAAATTTTTTGCTCTATTATGTATGTATGCAAATATTCACTTCTTAATTACATCATTTACAAGTTTTGCTAATGTCAGTTTCTTATCATTCATCGATTTTATCGGTAGAATTTAGTGCAGCATAAAAGTAAAGTATGACGTTTTGAATTTAATAGGCATTGCAATCGGTGTTAAAGTAAGCTTTCCAGAACTAAAATTTTTTTGTTATAAATCGTGCTGTCTTAAAATTAATGTATAGTGCTAAAGAAATATTAGTGCCACTGACTACCGTTAGCTTATTGCAATTTAAAATGCGGAAAATAAATGGAAATAAAGATTCATTTTTCATGTCTTGTTTCTAATCTACACCTTCACTTTATATGTAAATGTATCTTTATTGCAGTACGCTTCTCTTACTGATTTGAGACATCAATAGGATCATTTACGTAATAGTAAATGGCTACTAAAGTATCTGAAAAGCAAAAAAAGCAGTGAAAATAGATTTTCTCCAGTGATTGTTCCTACATCATCAATTTTAATTAGTTAACAGATCAAAAAAGTCTTGGTGTTATCTGTGTTTCAGTTAGGTTATTTTCTGCATTTCACTGTTATTTATGGACAAAGTCGAGGAATTGAAGCCGGAAGTTGAAGAGGTGCTAGTTTTTTTCCTTTTTTGGGGTTGAAGGAACTGTAAGCTTGCAAGCAGCTTTTTAAATAGTGGATTCTTTTCTTCACTGCATTCCTTCTAGCTAAAAAATGTTACAAAAATTTTTTTCAGTAGACAAATTTTTTATGATAATGCATATCGAATTTCAAAAATTAAAGTGTGACAGAAACACCAATATTTTATAAATATTTTAAAGTGATTTCATGCTAGTAATTTCTAATCTTCTGCCTGCTATGTGAAGTATTGGTGCTTCAAAATGGATGTCATTAAATATGGTGGATATTATCTGGACTCTTCACTACACGGACCGTATCGACATATCAGGCTTATAATGTAAATGAAATTCTTGGTTTGCTTTTGAATTGGTCATTTTATTAACAAATTTCTTACTGTTGTATTGCAGATTTCATGCGATGAAGTAGAAAATCGCGATAATGTGGGTGAAGGAAGTACATCAGTTTCACAGAATGAACATGATGAAATTATTGCCACAGAGAAAGTTCTCAATGCAATGTTATTCTACCGTCGATATGGAATTACCAGGATTCAAATGAGTATCTCCTCATACCAGTAGGTTTTCCAATTATGTTAAACTGTTTTAATTGACATTTTGCTATCTTTCATAGTCTGTTGATAATTTATTAGATCCAATCCTTTTTCCTGATTGTTGAATAGGCAAAATATTGTTACTCTCAGAGAAAACACCATAGCAAAACGCTTTATTTTGATTAGGTTTGGTTTTATTTTTGGTATAAATTACCATGAGCTTACTAATCATTAGAATAAAGGATTCATTAAAATCAGCTATCTTTTTTTTTCTTAAGCAAGCAGAAGTATCTCAGTGACAAAAAAAAAATTAATTTTTATCGACATATTATTTGTTAGATCTTTATTTTTATAATTCGTCTTAGTCTTTCGTTTTGGTTTCTAATTGTATTTTTTCTCCAGAAAACTCTCAAAAGAGCAACAGGCGGCGCTTTCTCCAGCATATCAGTATCATCTTGTAAAAATGAAAGAATGCATTATTCACAATCAAAAGTAGAGATTTGTGAATTCTATAACTACTCTTAATGTTGTGAAGCAATTATCTTAGATAAGACATTTTTCCACTTTAAATTGATTTTTCAGTTTTGTCTTTTCTGAATTGTTGCTGAATGATGTCATCACTATTTAACATAAGATTTCGAAAATCTCGCTTAATTATCAACTGATTTTCATTAAGTTATGCTTAAGGATGATTACTTATAGGGTGTTGAGGGAAATAATAGAATGCGGAATAAGTATGTTTGGAGATGATTTTGCTCTACGTGCTGCTGCTCAAATGACGCAATTGAGACCATCCAGTGATCATTACATGTCGAAAGTGAGAAGTACTCTGAAACAAATTATGAGGGATTGGAGTAGTGAAGGTATGATTAATATTTTTTCTTCAAAATTTGATTTATTGCTTTCATAAACCGTTGTATAGGAAATTATAGTCTAAATAGTGCGTATATACACCATTTCAATCTTCAACTGATTTAAAGAACTAACAGTTAGTTGCTACCTTAAATTATTGGTGATAATTAATAAGTAACTAATAATTAGTGTAAACTATGAACCTTTTGCTCGTTTCTTAGATATCACTTTTGATATGTTCAGAGGTAATGATTACTTTGAATTGAATTTGCAGCTCACTGCATTGTAACACTGTAAAAAACGATAAACTTATTTCTGTTTAAGGTAAAATCGAGCGGGAAAGTTGTTACAGCGATACGGTACAAATTCTACGTCAACTTTTTCCGGACAAAGAAAATCGATCAGCCATCGAAGTTCTGGTTCCGGGCGCTGGGCTGGGACGATTAGTTTGGGAGCTTGTTGCAGAAGGATTCTCTGTCCAAGGAAATGAATTTTCGATTCTAATGTTGCTTACGTCAAATTTTATCCTGAATAAGTGCAAACAGGTATTTTCATTTTATCCAATTTTTTTTCTTTATTTTTATATTTTTTTGTTAGGATATGTTTTGATTAGTTCTAAAATTTACTGCCGATAACTTATATTCTAGCTGAAATGCACATTTTGGTATTTTGAAGTGTCTGTCTTTTAATTTGCTTTCGAATTATCTTTTCAAGTTTTGCCGAACTTTATTTTCCAGGCAAATGAATTTAAGATTTATCCTTTCGTGCTGGATACATGCAATAATTGGTCATACGCAGATCAGTTAAGATCAGTAAGCTTCCCAGATGTGTGTCCTGTTATGCCTGACGATGTAAGTTATTATATGTTTCTAGTTTTATTTTATGTTTTTTATTTATTTATTTATTTTTTTCTAGTTTTATTTATTTTATGATTTTATCTTATTTAGTAATCTCTGAGCTGCAAACTCCGATTCTTTTCTTTCATTTCACTTTTACAAATGAAAAAAAGACATTTGAGCTTCTTTCTTGCAAATGCTTATGATTCACTTCTATATTTAACTCTTTTTTTGCTAGAGAC